ACCAGACTGGTGGAGGTCCACAGTTCTCCTCCTGATGTCTTGGCTGGTTTCTTTAGATGCTCCAAGTTGAGGTGTGCTTTAAAATACATCCACAGGTGTGCCTCCAGGTAACTCACATGTTGTCAGTTAACCAATCAGAAGCTTCCAAAGCCATGACATCATCATCTGGGCTTTCCCAAACAGTCTGAATGATCTTAGTGGATGTAAACTTCTGACTCTGAAGAAAGTCATAAACATTTTCTCTCTCATTATTCTGGTGTTTATCAGATAGAACTAATGTTGGTGATCCTGACTGAGCTGAAACAGGAAACGTTTATTCTGATTTAATGTCAGATGGTTTTATGTCTTTTTCTACAGTGGATGTAAACTCCTGGTTTTAACTATCAGCTGATGTGGAGCTGATCACAGTGACCTTCTTCTAAGTTTGTCTCTATCTTGAAGCAATATTTTTTAAATTGCAGTAGTTTTCGGGGCAAACAGGACTTCAGACATTGAATATGTCTCCAGAGTTTTTCCTTTTTTAAACTGCCTACATAACATCGTAAAGACAATCCGTGGGCTCTGCGTGTCGCACCGAGCTTCATCATGCTACATGCTTCAGTCACAACAACACCTGTCCTGTGAGAAGTGACTCATGTTCAGGATGACATCAAAGCTGCTTTTCAGTTCTCGCTCTTAGAAACATCTGATGGGAAGAGAACACATCAGTGTGAGGTGTAAACATGCTGCATGCAGACAGACTTTTCCATCTGCAGACGACGGAACTTTGTCAAGCCGACATTAAGTCACGACAGCGAGCGAAGCTACAGCAGCGATACCTGATCTGTTCTCCTTCTTCTGCCTTCGTCCTTCTAGCTGCTTCCTTTGGATTGTGAATATAGAAAATGATGTTTTATTTCATGAAGGTTCCAACTATCACTCACTTTAGTTATTGACTAATCAACAGTTTCCCTGAGGTTTGCACCAAAGGGATCAATAAAGTCCTATTCTATTCTATTCTATTCTATTCTATTCTATTCTATTCTATTCTATTCTACTCTATTCTAGTCTGTTTCATTCTATTCTATTCTATTCTGTTCTATTCTATTCTATTCTATTCTATTCTATTCTATTCTAGTCTATTCTATTCTATTCTA